ATTGTAATTGTTTTCTGTAGACAATTACGATTAAATTGTGACGACAGGCTCACGCGCGCACGCTGCTGTTAGCATTCAGGTGTCTGAGCAGACAGATCAAACACAAAAGAAGCAAGTTAGCCTGAGGGAGTTAGACAAAGTGCCGAGATAAAACTCATTTTCTTTTATTTGAGTTCAAAATAGAAACCCAGCAGCTTGTTCAGCCAACTCTTCAGAGACTGAGGACTTTAAAATATTAACACTCACCCTGCCACGACAGAGCCGAGGCAAGGACCAGCCAAGGGAGCGAGAGAACAGGCCTTGGGCATTTGCATGAGTTTTCATTATCAGTAACTGTCAGAGGGAACAGCACATAGCCTACAGGCAGCACATACACACAGCCCCTCACTCCGCTCATCCATTTACAGATAGTACTGAGCAGTTTGGCAGACGGCACAAATGTAATCATGTTCCTGCTGAACAGACACAAACGCTTGTCTTAACAGCACTAATACAGTATAACCCTGCAGAGGGTCACAGCAGAGGCAGCTAGAAAACAGACAAGCCCAGTGAAGTTTTATTCATAAAGTCAATATAAAACGTTGTAGCTGCCCCTTTTTTTCTATATGCAGCACTTACTGCGCTGTGGATCAGGACAAAACATGAGGAAGAGCAAAACAGGATGTAACTGTACAAACAGGATTACACCAGAACAGCCTAAAAATAAACAATATGCTAATGTTACATGTGCTTGGGCATTTCACTCGGGCATTTGCATGAGCGGATCAATACTGGAAAACAGTGAACGAGTTAGTAACATTTACAGTGAATAACTCACGCACGTGTTTAAATTCGCTGCAAAGTAAATAGCAAAGGTATAAACAGCAGCTCCAGCAGATCTGTATTACTTGACTGACATGCTGAGTACCATTCAAATACTATGTTTGCTGTGTGCTAATGTTTGCTTCCTCTCACACAGACTCTGCAGATGAGGTGGCCTGAAAATGGTGTATTTTAAAGGAAATTGTATGTTCAGATAAGAAAATATGACCCATGTCTGGTACGCAGGGCTTTTTCAAGCAAGAAGGCCTGAAAGTTTCCACCATAAGCTGCGATTACAAGCAGCTTGGTCAGAGTTTCAGATTGCTCTGACTTTTGTTTGCTTGCATTAGTGTAAGCCACTTGAATTAAGTATGAAATATAGGAATGATGTCATACAGTGGAGGTGTGAGGTGTAGAGATGTACAGGTTGAGAAGTAAGCTCGTTACCAACATGGACGCAGACTTTCTCAGCAGGTAAAATACATTTCATTTATTTGTTTCTAACAGTTTAAGTGAGATACAGAGTGGCATAATGTAGATACTAATGTTAGCATATTAGCATGTTATCTGTGTTACTCTGATTGGGCAGACAAACTTACTCAGGTGGATGGTAACCAGTCAGCTTAACCAACAATGATACAGCAAGCAGGTACAAGCAGAGCCCCAGAGTAAGTCAAGGAAGTAATTTAGTAAGGTGTGCCAGGTTGGCACATGCACCAACTCTCCAAGACACCCTGACATTCAGACCCAGCAAGCTGTATGTTGAAAAGATGATATGAAAGAAGGAGTGACTTACAAAGATGCCACAGTGGGCTCGAGGTGAAAAACGTTTGTGGCACAATGTGAGACACAGCTAGTAATGCTGACAGGTAGCCTAGCTCCACGGCTGTCTTAGACAATGACATCGTTCTTGTAACTTTGCTTCTGCACAGCACATTTCATATCAGATAATCAAGCTGTGATTGAAGTGCAGCCTTCCAGGTTTAGCCAAAATCCTTTCATCAAGTCTTCGAAAATAAAGCCTGTTT